ACATTATTTAAGAGTATTGGTGGGGAAAACCTTTTCCTAAATGGCTGAAGCATTTGCTGCAACGCACTTTTGGTATTTTCTCAATAGTGGTTTGCTCTATAAGGGGATGTTTTTCTTGTAGCTTTAAACGACTAATTCGGCATATTAGACAACAACACATCGTGTCTCTTGCTTAAGGTCTTACTTGTATTGACTTAAAATCAAACAAAGGGGGGAGTGCAACCTCTTTCCCCTCTTGTTTCCTGCGCAAAGTAATTCTACACAATTCGCAGAATCCTTTTGGTACCCGAGTATCACTGATATCAATCTTGGTCTTGTACAGTTGGCATATTCGATCTGCTTGAAAAGTAGTAAGCTGTCTTAAACATTTTTTCAGACAGAACAAGCACACAAACTTTTGATTTTTAATATGATTCTTTGCTTGAATTAGCATCGTGGCAGTTCACTAAATTTGGCTTCACTAAATCAAACTCTGCCTTTTACAAAGTTTGACGTTAATTTATATTTGATAACAATCCACTTAACATAGTAACACATATTATTAAATAAAAACTATTAAAGTAAAGGTAATATTTACTTGATTCAATTGAGGTAATATTAAATTACAAGGAAATAATTCTTGAATATTTCTTTACTTACCAGGAAACAATTGCTCAAACTATTTACTTGTAAAGAAACTACATTATTGATAATTGTCACACTTATTAAACTAATGATACTTGTCACACAGGTTTTTTATTTCAAAACAACCCTTCAACCTAATTAGTTATTCAGTTAGATTAATTTTCCTCCGACTAGCCCCTTAAACTTTGTATTCCTTCTTAACCATTTTAAGAATTTTTTTGCATTCTGGCAATACTCTATACCTTAGGAAATGTTGGTATATTCAAGCGAAGCATACATGGCCGTCAAGGAAGCCATGATCAGCCCACTTTTTTTTTGCGAGGACCTTTTGTTTTAGAAATATAGGCAATTATTTTAGAAATTATTGATTTTATTTTAGAAATTGAGGGGTTGATCCCCTCCACTTTGAAGGCCACGCCAACGCCACTGACATAAGCCAATTCAAATCACGCTTTAAGTAGCAAATTACTATTTTGGCTTATAAAATGAAAACTGTACATGTACCAATAAAATAATTATAACAAAAATTATTGGTATTACATAGTAAAACACTCATGTAACCGTTATTTTAAAAATAGTGACCGAATTTCAAAGTAATCAGCAACGCTTTGAGGCACAAGCAGCAAAAAACTGACAAAACTTTAACTAAAACTGCAATCCTACACCAGTCATCTAATCAGGCTGAAATTTTGTCCAGAGTTTGGTGTGACTGTTGGCTACATTTGCACCAATTTTTATCAAGTTATATTGAGTGGTTCAAATTCTACAAGTGCTTTTATTGGCACACTATGAAGTCAAAATTTGACTTAATTTGAACATTCAAACTAAATTATTTTCCGCTGACAAAATTAAATGATTTCAAAATTTGCATCGCAGGGTACCTTGATGTGTACGCTAACTTTCCGTATAAGTGGCGTTCTTGGCACAGTTAGGTAGGCATTATAAGGACCCGTGCTAACCGTGAATATTAAAACGCTAGGTTTAAAATTTTTGTGAACAAAAAATATTTTTAGGGGTAACTCAAGACCCTTAAAAATTTGATGGTTCCCTTATATTTTGAAAAAAAAAGTTCTTCTAAATTATGTCAACCTCAGAGACGTATTTAAGGGGGCCAGGGGGGCATTGGCCCCCGGGCGCCGTGCTTTAACAGGGCGCCAGCTTTCAGAATGTTAGAATTTTAGAAAATTATAAAATAGTCTATTTATTTCATTTCATGATAATTTTTATATTATTGTTATGTTCAAATCAAAGACTTACCAAATATCTCTAGTTTTTTCAGAAAAATTTGTTTAGCAGAAAAAAATATTACTCAAAAGGCGATCTCAAATTTGCAAATTTTCCTTAATTATGGGCCAATTATTCATCTAAAAACCTTGATTTAATACTAAAATTCACGTGTCAAAACAAATTATTTATTAATTAGAAGTATACAAATTGTATGAACCGGTAGCGTAATGGATAAGCTCATTACTCTGGCGCTGGCGTTCCGAGATCTACTCCTACAATAGGTTTCACCCATGACGATATTTATTACAAGCCTTCCCATCGCGAATCCGTCTATGAATGCATCAGAAGTAGGTAAAAAAAATTAATATGTAGAAACTATAATCAGATCCTATTGTTATTTTTCAACGTCTCAATGCTTATACAATCAAGTACGAAAAGATTTTAAATTGCCAAGTGTAAAAACATTAACAAAAATTACATCTATGACAAAAAAAAGTTTCAGATATTGGCTTTATTTGTACCATTTTTTCAAATTTAGAGAAAAATCATAGAAATTGTATACTTTTGGTGGAGTAAGTTTATGTAAAGTCTCTTCTTCTTTATCATGGTGGTTATCTTTTTGGGAAAGCGGAAAATAATCCAGAGTTGTTAGCAAATAGTGTTTTGGGTATTATGGTTAAATGTTTAAAAGGTGGACCATCTTTTTTATGCAAAATGATACCTGTCTGTCATTTGGATGCTTCTTTTTAGTTTGAGCAAGTATGCTATGTCATTAATTTAATTAAGTCTAGCAATGGAAAAGTAATTTCAGTTATTTGTGATGGCAATCGAACAAATCAAGCTTTTTTTTAATTATTTGAGAGAGTTGAAGGAAAACCATGGTTAAGAAAATGTGGAATTTTTCTCCTTTTTGATTATGTTCATTTACGAAAAAATATTAGGAATAACTGGATTACAGAAAAAATGCAGGAATTACAATTTGAAAAAGACCAAAATTTGACTGCCAAGTGGAGTGACCTTAAATGTATCTTAGATTTTGAGAAAGATCAGCTAATTAAGTTATCAAGACTAAATTTTGTAGCTATACATTAAAAACCCATTGAAAGACAAATGTATCACATTGTTTAAGAGTATTTTGCGATGAAACTATAGCTGCTCTTAAAACTTATTCAAAAGTTATCCACCCTTGCAATATGAATGAAACCATTTGTTTTTTAGAAAAAGTTACTAAATTAGAGTGGTGAACAAGGTCATAGAATGAAATCTTTAACTAAAGATACAGGTACTTCAATTTGGCATACATGTTATGGAGTCGTCGAGATGTGTAAACATTTGCTAAAAAACAATTTTGATTATGTTATGTTAGGAGAGTTTTCAACAGATTACATTGAAAAAGCATTCAGTAAGTTTAAGCAAGGTTCAGGTGGAACATACATACACCTGTTATAAAAACAGGTCAAAATATTGTTGAAAAGTTAAACATTGAAAAAGCTAAACTGTTATTGCAAATAAAAGTTGATGTTACAGATTATGCTATTGATATCGAGCATTCTTGTCAAAAATGTGGCTATTTTATAAGTGAAGAATCTTGTGAAATCATTAATCAATTACCTGAACTAGAATCATCTTTGTCATTGAGTACAAAAATGGCTTTGTTTAATATTGCAGGTTGTGCTACAAGAAAAGATGATGTTAGTGAAAATGATTTGTTTAATGATACTGCATTTTATTTTCAGTTATATGGAGACTATACAAAAACTATAGTGTGCAGTGGGTATTTTTTTGTTTCATTATTTTTGAAATTGAGAAAAAAAAAATGTGCAGAAAGTCATTGTGTAATATATTTTTATGATGATATCTGATATTTATAACTTTAATATGTTAAAGAAACATGGTACAATATTATCAAACATATTTCTTAAAAATTATTGTTTGCTTTTTTCACCCAAGTCCAATAAAGAACCTGCATTGAAGGTTTTAAAGTTATCTGTATAACATTAAAAAATTATTTTAGTACATTTTTTTATAACATTGTTGATGTATATTTTGATATTTTTTTCTTTTTACTTGATGTATATTATGATGTTTTTTTCCTTTTTTTTTTTTTTTTTTGCATAATTTTAAAGTTTGTTCATTTTTTTGTGATTTAGATTTTAAATAATTACATCTCATTATTTTGAAAAAATGTATTTTATTGAATAAAATACTAAAATACTAATTACTAAATACTAAATACAAAATACTATATTACCTTAACGTTATTTATCGGTCACGACTTTAGTTTTCGCAAGTTTAGATGCGCACACAGAATAAAATTTATTCTGTGTGCGCATCTAAACTTGCGAAAACGAAAGTCGTGACCGATAAATAACGTTAAGGTATCATAGTATTTTGGTTGCTGCTACACAAAAGATAGTTCCTTTAATTTAAAGTTTTAAAGTAAAAGAATCGCTGCACTCTCAATAATTTTGTCTTAAAAAATGTTTTCTAGTTTAAAAAAGAGAGGAATGAGTGTGAAGCCAAATTAAAAATTTGCCCAGCTGGATTATTTATTTATGTTTCTCCCAAAGTAGGTATGCGGAAATAGCCGTCTTACGGAACCGAATTTTCTGCTAAAATTCTGTGCCACGTTTTTTGAACTTTTTTTTAGGTAGCGTCAGACAAACGTTTTGTTGTGGTGTTTTTTTTTAGAAAAGTATATTAACATAGAATATTTTTAAAAAGAAGAGAGTTTGATCTATATTTTTATGTATCATTTATGAATGGATGATTTACTTTTAGTTAACTTTATAGATATTGAAAATTTACTTGATGTTGTCATGTGAAATTTGTATTGAAGGAATGCTGAGACATTTTGCAAAACTACTGAGACATTTTTTTAAATCTATTTCTTATTCACCTGCCAAATTTCAAGGAAAAATATTATGTAGCAGATAATTTAAAAAGTGTAGCAGTTTTGGTACCTAAATTTTGTTTTCACAAATTCCGTGATGGATGTTGTTGTGGTTAGGGGGGGGGGGGGAGAGAATTGGAATGTATATAACAATAATTATTACTGTTATAAACAGTAATAATAATACTGTCATTATTACAAATTTGTTGTCATTATTTTATAAATTTTATTATTTTATTTTTATTATTCAATCATAATTTATGTATTTAATATATATACACAATAATTTTGTTTCACAATATTATTGTTTAAATATACTTTTAGATAAAAAGCAGATAATATTTGTTGATGATCAATGAACATGGAAATGGAAAAAGGTTCAGAAAATAAATTTACTTAATTAATGCCATTAACAATGGCAATTATTCTTAAAGTTTCTGGAATTTTAAACCCAAAAGCAAATGAATATATAATTGCTTTCAAAACATTCAAACCAGTTTTAAATGTTTTTTTGACAGTTTTTGTCAAAACATGTCAATTTATTAAATAGCATTGAAAATACAATTATCAATAGTATTTGCATTGTCATGCAAAAACTATTGTCATTTCTATTCTGTTAATAGCATTAAGTTTATAATATTTACTTAATCATTAAGTTAATGCTATTAATATCAATTATTAAGTTAATACTATTCATTATACTAAAGTCTACAATGACAGTGTAGATAGTGTCACTGTCAACTGTTAAATAGTATTGACAAGGACATATTTCTTTACTATTGAAAATATATTATTATTATTATTATTATTATTTTTATTATTATTTTTATTATTATTATTATTATTATTATTATTTTTGTAATTTTGATTCTAAGCTGTTGTTAAAGTTGTATATTAATGCATGCATAATAGTAATAGTATTTATATCATGCATGCTTTTATAATACATGCCATATTAGTTCATGCATGATATTAATATTATTAGTATCCAGCATGCATATTATTAATGACATTAATTATTAATGACATTAATATTATGAGATGCAAATAAATATTGTCATATACCAGCAGGCATATTATTAATGATTAATAATATGCAAGCTGGTATGTGACAATAATTATTTGCATATCTTATTTCCATAATATTAAAACATATATTATAATTTTAAAAACTTTAAGGGAACTGAATAAAAAATAAACAAAAAAAATTATTAAAGATATTTTGTTAAAATATCCCTTATTTGTCTTTATAAGTATATATAATTAATTCTTTTTTATTTTAAAAACAAAATATCATTTGTGTGAAAGTGTGTTTATCAATTTAATAACATTATAATTATCATTTTTTTCATTCATTGTTCAGATGAGCGAATGGAACAACGACTAAGTATTTTTATTTCATTTCTTGCATATTTTTAGATTGTGTATTGTTTCACTGTTACTCAAACTGCTTAATTAAACTGCTTTTGGCGTATTAATTTTTAAATACAGATTTATATTTTAGTCATTATTTTTGTTTTTATTTTATTAATATTATTTTTTTTAGCCCAGCTTGAAAAAACTATAGGTAAAAAAAGTTAATTTTTTTTTGTTTACATTTATTTTTTAAATTTGAATCAAATTAGATAAGTTTTCCTATTTCTTCATTTGAATCAAATTAGATAAGTTTTCCTATTTCTTGGTTTAACTAATTTTATATGTATAAATGCTTAATTATTTGGCTAGTTGATACCTGTTTACATTTTTTTAGGTGATTTAGTGAGTCACATTAGTAAGTTAAATGAATGTTACTTTTTTGTCTATTTATTTTTTTATTTATCTATTTAAAAAATTTTAATTATCTATTATATATGAAGATTATTTATCTAATTAAGAATTTGTTAATTTTTTAGATTTTTCTATTTTAACTGCAACATTTGTAAGGTGGCAATAAAAAATTATGTAACTTTTGATAATTATTTGAAAATGTTTACTAATACTAAAATGTATTTATTTGTTATTGAAATTTATTTTTTATAACATTTAGTGCCACCTTCAACTGCTACTGATGGTAATATTTGAACTATAAGTTTAAAAAAAACATGGAGTACATTTCTTTTTATGTGTTTGTAACACTTTTTTAATTATCTTTAGTGGCATGTCATGCTGATACCGCTGGTAGTTTGTAAATGATATATAAATAATAAATTGTAAATTATGAATCAATTTTAATACAATTCTTATTTGCTTGTAACACTTTTTATTATGTCTCTTTTAGTATCATCTTCATCGACAACTACAGGTGCGTTTTTGAGATTATAACTTTTTCAAATGTTTTTTCTTATAGTCACATCTACTTCTGCTGGTAATTTTTTAACATGTTTTTAAATTATATAAGAATTTCTATGAATTTAAATTCTTTTTTGCTTTTTATTTTGTAACTTTTAGGGCCATCTTCATTGGCTTCTGCTGGTAATTTTGTTATTTATAGCATTTTTTAAATGAGAATCAATTATGTACCAATTTCAATTACTTTTAATTATTTGTAACACTTTTTATTTTGTAATTTTTAGGGTCATCTTTATCGACTTCTGCTGGTATTTTCGCATATACTATAACTTTTTACTATATAATTTATGTACCAATTTTAAGGATTTTATTTGGTGCAACATTTTCTTTTTGTAACATTTAGAGCCCTCTACGTCTGCAATTGCTGGTAATTTTGTAAATTATAACTTTCAAAAATTCATTATTATTTATTCATTGGTAACACTTTTATTTGTAATCTTTAGTGCAAACAACACCTGTTGTGTCTGGTAAGTCTGTAGTGTTCTAATTTTATAAAATTATCATAGACTAATTTCGAGGTGTTTATTTATTTTCAAGTTGTTTCTCAATCATATTCCGAATTCTTTAATGGTTCAGGAGATTTTCTTAATAAATAATTAGTTTCAACTTTTTAAAATGATAATCATTGAACTTTTTATTGTTATTTATTACTTTGTTTAATAATCGTATAAAAATGATATTTAATAGTAATTCATTGTTTGTTGGATATTAACCTTCTTTTTCCATATGTATTTCTGCTTTACTTTTAGATCTAACATATGCTGCATATCAAGAATATAGGTCCCAGCACCATGGTCCTTACTCCAATAAATCCTATCTGCGATGGGTAAGGAATGGGGGTAGTGATTCCCCTAGTTTTACATGGACACATGTGCCCCCAAACCCTGGTGCTGGGACAAGAAGAAGGAATTACCGCAGAGGGCGTGGTCAGAGAAGAGGCGGTAGCAGTGGGGGATTTGGAAACTTTTATGTCTACAATTCTTAAAGGTTTTCAAGTCCTCCACCATAACCAAAAAAAGAATTCTTATTTCTTATGTTAAAAATATTTAAATTTACAAAAAGGTTTTCTTCTTTTTTGGTTTGCTTATATATAACTATAAAGTTGTTTTTTTACATTTTTGAACATAGTAAAAAGGCTCCTCCAAAACTAAAATTTGTGTTTGCACCCAATATAATTGTTATTAATTTTTCTAAAATATATGTCTGCATTAGTTTAACAGTAAAACGTTAACATTTTTTTAACATTTTTTTTATTTTTGTTTTATTATAAAAAGTTATTTAAGTTTATAACTTCTTTTTTTTTTAACTTTTCTTTATTTTTCTTCTTATTCTATTATTAATTTTTTTTTGTGTGTGATACTTTGTATTTAATTAATTTTTTTTTAACAATATCTTATATTTAAAAATAGGTCCAATTTATAATATTTTTTATATTCACTTATAGTTCCTAAAAATTTGTTTTTAACCGCTATATTTGGATATCACGATAACTAGTAAGGTATTTATGTCTTTAAAAAGGTATTTATGTCTTTAATTGTATATTTAAGTATTTTTGTATAATTTTTTTAGTTTTTTTTTTCTGTTTTAAGCAAGGAGTTAAAAAAAAAACATTTCTATGATTTTAATGCAGTTACCAAACTTTATTTTTTATTTTTAAATAGATTTGTTTTGCCAGCCAAGTGTACATGTTTTATAATTTTTTGTAGGTGTCATGGGCCTTAAAAAGAATATTTGTTTGTTTCGTGGACCTGTGAGAAGTTATGTCTTTGAAAATTTCTCATTGTCTGGCGAAAATAATAATATCTGTAAGAAGGGACATGTACTTTACTCTTTCATTACAAATGGTGAGTCGTATTTTAAAACTGTTCATGAAATTAATCAGTTATTTAACTTAAAGACTTGTAAAGTTCAACTGAGGAGTGTTGTGAATGCATGCAAGAAATGGACTTTTAACTTTAAAAGAGATTATAATAATATCTCAATTTTTTGTAACGAGCCCTTTGTATGCGCAACTCCCATTGAACAAATAGCACAGCCATTACATACTAACACTATTAGTTCAATAAACCCTGTTTCATTATCATCAGTGGATTATCCTGTCGAACAAAACATTAATTTATCTTTAAAAAAAGGCAAACCTTCTTCTTTTTTAAATTATGTAAAAAATAAGCCACGTTTAGATATGTCTAGAGAAAATTTGAGTCCGAGAAAAAAAAAACTACGTACTAGGTTATCATATATATCTTCAATGTTAGCTAGCACTTCTAGAGGAAATCGAAAAAAAATAGCATTATTAAAGGCTAAATTAGGCAGCATGCCATACAGGTTAAAAGTATTAAGACAAAGTGTCAAAAGAAAAGAAGATATTATAAAAGCCTTACGACTCAAAGTTAGAGACCTAAAAAAAAAATTAAAAACATATCATTACAATAGAGTTATTCACCATTTGCAAGATGCAATAAAGACAAGAAAAACTAAAGAAAAAAAAAATTGCGTGAAACGAATATCCAACATAATAATGATATTAGGCAAAATACAATGGTTATTGCAAGTTTTGAAAATGAATTATTAGAAATGGAAGAGAGCAAAATTCCTGTTATGTCTGAAACTGAAAAGTGTTATCCTTTAAACATTAGGCTAATAATTTATAGCATGTTGTTGTCAAATGTGCCTACAGGTAACATTCCATTTTTGTTAGAGAAAATTAGCCAGTATTTTGGTGTGGTAATTAATAACATACCCCATCGCAGTACTGTTGAGCAAATGGCTCGTGAATTAGGTAGTATATTAGAATTACAAGCAGCAGAATGGGCTATCAGTAATTCTCAGCTTACTCTTGGATTTGATGCAACAACACAAGAAGGTGTTCATATAAATAGTGTTCACTTTACGTCCAAAGATAAATGCCTTGTTATTGCTCTGGATCAATGCCCCGGAGGAACAGCTGATGATTACGAAAATCATATTTGTAGGGCAGTAGATCATCTAGCTTTTGTTTATTCAGATTTTTATTTACGTAATTATGATGAGTGTCGTCAATTGATTATTAAAAATATTTCCAACACAATGTCAGACAGAGTTGCAGTTAACCATCTGACCATAAGCAAAGTTAGTGCAACTTGGGGTAAAACTCTGAATGAATTGAATTGTCATTTGCACCCTCTTGATACAATTGCTACTGAATGTCGCTCAGCATTGAAGTGTCTAGAGACAGAAAAGTGTGAATTATTTGGCAATGATTGTTTAGCCGTCAAAATTGTTTTGGCTATGAATAAGATGAGGTTTAAAGACGGTAAAGGTGATCCAGAGGGATTTGTTACTTTTTTAGACCACAAAAAACTACCTAGGTGTATCATTCCTAGATATCGGGGAAACCGTCTCCATATTCTTTTTCATACTTGCTTTATATTTATTAAACACTATGATGATTTTCTAAATTTTCTCATCACAGGAACAGTAAAATGTGGCAGTTTGCAAGCAGCTCTGCGAGCAGCATTTTGTAATGCTACCGCTATAAAACAGATGTGTGTGCTTGGTGTATTTGGGAAACTGCTAAGTGGTCCGTGGATGACTAAGTTTTATGTATCAGCTGAGGATGCAAGTTTTGATCATCTCACTGGTATTCAGATTGTAAAAAACATTTTGGAAACAGTTAAGCTTTGCAAATCTAATCCGGCTGCAGTGTTTTGCAGAACAACTGATTTTTTCGGGGAAATGCTTCCCTCAAATGTTTTTGAACCAATAACAAATTTATGCTGCATTGATGATCAGGTTATCAACATGACTTCAGCTTGCCTTAATGCAGTGGAGGATGTATTGATTAGACAATATAAAAAGTACTTCTCCCTTTCCATTACGGAGACACTTAAGCAGGAAACAGCTAGTGCAAGGCTTCATAATATAGATAGTGAAGAGTTAATGGGTATGTTTAGTGAATGTAAAGGAAGATCCCCTAATGCAACAACTTGTTATATTTCTTGCAAAATAAGATCAAAAAAGAATAGGACTATTGATTATCTTGATAGTTTAGATCAACTAAGTAGAGAAAATGTAGTTAAGTGGTCCATTTTTACAGCACGTAAAGAAAGAAAGAGAAATCGCCTACAACATGCTCAAATTCGATCTGTAATATATAAGAAACAGACATGCAAGCGTCAAATGTTGGATGAAAAAGAAAAAAGGAAATTAGAACGAAAACTTAAATTAATGACTTTCAGCCAGATTAAGAATTTCTATAAACAATTGTCTACAAAGCAACTGGATGATTTAGATGATGTTATGTCTGACAGAATTGTTGGTAGAAAACTATGTCATGAATGGTATGACACTGAACAATCTAAGAATGTCATATACGATGGTAGAGTAGAAAAAGTAAAAAAAAGATTGCAAGACAGAATTTACACAATCTCTTACTGGAAAAAAGATGAAACTGATTCTGAAGCTGTTGATTATTGCATGAAAAAATTCCAGCTGGTCGCAGATGTTGTTTCAGGAGAATTAATTTTTTCTTAATGTTAATGTGTATTAATTGTTTTTAATGTTAATATGTATTGTTTTCATAATTGTATAGTTTATTATGTCCAAAATAGATACTGCAAATGTTATAAATTAAAAAGTCTTAACATTTGAAAAGTACCGCAAGTGCTGTGACTTGCAAATAGGTAACCAGCAAGTGTTGTGACTTGCAAAAACGGTGCCGCAAGTAATGTGACTTGCAAAAAGGTAACCAGCAAGTGTTGTGACTTGCAAAATTGGTACCGCAAGTGCTGTGACTTGCAAAAAGGTAACCAGCAAGTGTTGTGACTTGCAAAATTGGTACCGCAAGTGCTGTGACTTGCAAAAAGGTAACCAGCAAGTGTTGTGACTTGCAAAAACGGTGCCGCAAGTAATGTGACTTGCAAAAAGGTAACCAGCAAGTGTTGTGACTTGCAAAATTGGTACCGCAAGTGCTGTGACTTGCAAAAAGGTAACCAGCAAGTGTTGTGACTTGCAAAATTGGTACCGCAAGTGCTGTGACTTGCAAAAAAGTAACCAGCAAGTGTTGTGACTTGCAAAATTGGTACCGCAAGTGCTGTGACTTGCAAAAAGGTAACCAGCAAGTGTTGTGACTTGCAAAAACGGTGCCGCAAGTAATGTGACTTGCAAAAAGGTAACCAGCAAGTGTTGTGACTTGCAAAATTGGTACCGCAAGTGCTGTGACTTGCAAAAAGGTAACCAGCAAGTGTTGTGACTTGCAAAATTGGTACCGCAAGTGCTGTGACTTGCAAAAAGGTAACCAGCAAGTGTTGTGACTTGCAAAAACGGTGCCGCAAGTAATGTGACTTGCAAAAAGGTAACCAGCAAGTGTTGTGACTTGCAAAATTGGTACCGCAAGTGCTGTGACTTGCAAAAAGGTAACCAGCAAGTGTTGTGACTTGCAAAATTGGTACCGCAAGTGCTGTGACTTGCAAAAAAGTAACCAGCAAGTGTTGTGACTTGCAAAATTGGTACCGCAAGTGCTGTGACTTGCAAAAAGGTAACCAGCAAGTGTTGTGACTTGCAAAAACGGTGCCGCAAGTAATGTGACTTGCAAAAAGGTAACCAGCAAGTGTTGTGACTTGCAAAATTGGTACCGCAAGTGCTGTGACTTGCAAAAAGGTAACCAGCAAGTGTTGTGACTTGCAAAATTGGTACCGCAAGTGCTGTGACTTGCAAAAAAGTAACCAGCAAGTGTTGTGACTTGCAAAAACGGTGCCGCAAGTAATGTGACTTGCAAAAAGGTAACCAGCAAGTGTTGTGACTTGCAAAATTGGTGCCGCAAGTGCTGTGACTTGCAAAAAGGTAACCAGCAAGTGTTGTGACTTGCAAAATCGGTGCCGCAAGTAATGTGACTTGCAAAAAGGTAACCAGCAAGTGTTGTGACTTGCAAAATCGGTGCTGCAAGTAATGTGACTTGCAAAAAGGTAACCAGCAAGTGTTGTGACTTGCAAAATTGGTACCGCAAGTGCTGTGACTTGCAAAAAGGTAACCAGCAAGTGTTGTGACTTGCAAAATTGGTACCGCAAGTGCTGTGACTTGCAAAAAGGTAACCAGCAAGTGTTGTGACTTGCAAAATTGGTACCGCAAGTGCTGTGACTTGCAAAAAGGTAACCAGCAAGTGTTGTGACTTGCAAAATCGGTGCCGCAAGTAATGTGACTTGCAAAAAGGTAACCAGCAAGTGTTGTGACTTGCAAAATCGGTGCTGCAAGTAATGTGACTTGCAAAAAGGTAACCAGCAAGTGTTGTGACTTGCAAAATTGGTACCGCAAGTGCTGTGACTTGCAAAAAGGTAACCAGCAAGTGTTGTGACTTGCAAAATTGGTACCGCAAGTGCTGTGACTTGCAAAAAAGTAACCAGCAAGTGTTGTGACTTGCACAGATTATTGATAGACGGCTCTGGCTTACCTTCTCGTGGTGTCTATCGTTAAAAATGATTAATATTTTGTTTCATTAATGGAATTTAAAAGTTTAATCATTTACTAAAAGCCAAGACACTAATTAATTACAATGGGTATTTTGTTTTCACTAATTCACATAATTTTAAGTATTGTATATTTTAAAAAATATTTTACATGTTTTTTTTTAGGTCAGATGTTAAAGAATCAAAGAGCCTTTTGCCTAAGAATTTAAATACTCTTACACATCTTTTATTAAAAATTAAAGTGTTGAAATATTGTTTATTCTTATTTCTTTAATTGTAACTATCTTTTCACAATATTTTTTAATTTAAATTTATAAAAATAATTGTTTTTTTAATTTTTTATATTGGAGGGGCTCACGTTCTTTCCTATATGAAACTGGATAAACTATTGCTTTTTGTAAAGTGGTATAATGTCTGTTTATACTAATTTTTGACGTTTGAAAATGTAATCAAATATTTCTATTTTTTAATTAAAAAAATTCACAAAAAAAAATTTTTTTGGGGTGGGAGGGGAGGGATTCGCGGGCGCACGCCCGCGATTCCCTCAAGTAAAATTATAACTTACTGACTGACTCGCCCCACCCCTCAAGTAAAATTATAACTTACTGACAACTAGTTGTAATGTAGTAAAATATATTTTTTTAAGTGGGGAAGGAGAAGGGAAGGGGGGGCCGCGCAGGCGTACGCCCCTCACTTTGACTCAAGTTATACACCACTAACCACTAGTTGTAAAGTACTGAAATTTAACTTTTATTTTTTATTCTAGATTTACTTATTTAATTGGAGATAAAAATATTATTTTTAAAAAGGAATCATTTTTGTTTATAGTACGTGTTAAACAAGCACCACCACATCCACCTTAACTTAAAGGTACACATCTCATATACGCTGGTGAACTAGGATCAAAATATTAAAACTTCTGTTTGATAAAAAAGAAAATATCCAGTATTAAAATACTTTTTTATGATAGAATTTTCAAGTTATTGGTGGTGAAAGTCGTAGTTCGGGGGCCCTCCTAGACGCCCACTAACGCCCTATAGCTAGATGCTACTATAAAATTGTAGCTCACTCTTACATCTATATTTTGATACCAAATTATAGACATTTCGACAAGAATTAGTAAAGTTATAACAATTTTCGGTACAAAAAAAAGTTTTTTGACCACAGTTTCTTCAACAATTTCATATATTCAAAAATCGTCACTAAAAACCTCATAACTTTGTTTTGAATTGTTCGATTTTGATAATTTTTTCACCGTTGAAATACTGTATTAATGCTCTTTTCAACGATATATAACAATATAATATTTTGTAAATTTAAAAATTTCATGTCACATACCTACCCAAAGATAAACAAATTACCTTATGTTAATTTTATTTACCTAATTCATCTTACAATCATAATTAAGCCAAAATTACGTATGTTATGTAACCTTTGACCTGTTATTAGTCTCAATAACAAGAGTTAAAAGCTTTAAGTTGGATGAAACTTTACAATATCCTTATTTGGGATCAAGTTGAAGACTTAATTGTAGACAAAAAAGCCCCTTTTTAATGTTGATAAATCATTGAGTCATGACCAATTTTCAAACTTATAAGTTCAATAAGTTTTTATTATCAAACAAAGACTTATTGAAAAAGATAAGTTCAAAAAAAAGTATATTTGGTATGATTTATCTTCCCCCGTCCATAGTTCTTGCTCTGTTCCAACAAATGATTGGTCGATAACTGTGAAATTGATTTAAGTGATTAGTTAGATACAAGTGAACAATGGTTACAAGATGACTAGAGACAAGTTAAATAATGGAGGAATAATTATTGGCTTGCATTTATATAGTATAGTATATTTAATATAGAATAACTAATAAGACTTAATTCACCAAGATTTAATAATTGTAAGACCAATAAAGTTGAATGTGAATATTTTGCAATTAAAATAAGGTTATTTTTAATTGCAAAACCAGCAATTTGTGTTAGAAAAACAAATGACATTTAAAAAAAATGGTTTATTATTTAATTCTCATAGAAAGGGTCCTCTCTGGTATTGCCTTGTTAAATAATAAGCATTCTCATTCGTTTAACATGTATTGTAAAATCAGGGGCGGGTTATGTCACTTGCCAAGAAAGGGGATAAAATGTTCAACAAAAAAAAAGTCTGCATATTTTCATTTTTAAGATTGTTTTATTTTTTGTACTTTAGTGTAATAATCAAGTTCATATACGTATAATTATGTATAATAGTCAATTTCATTTGTCAGTATAGTAATCCAGTTCTGTATAATAGTCAATTTACAAAAGAATTTTATGAAAAAAAGTCCTAAGGAACGGTGGTATTGTGGGTACGGGGGAAGAGGCTACTACCCAATGCCCCCCCCCCTAAAACCCGCCACTGTGTAAAATCTCCTCTTTTTCAGTGATTACCACATGGCAACCCTATTAAAAGATAATTAGCTAAGTTTGAAGGTTTGGATTGTCTTTTAAAAGACATTCAAGGATTTTTCAAAAAATATATAAATATAAACAGCGCACATTTATTTAAAACTTTAAATCACTGATAAAAGATTTAATAAATAATTGATTAAAAAGGTTTATTTTATAAAAATAAATATATTATTGGTTAGCCTCTAAACTTACCCTGCTTATTGAATAAATGTTTAACAGTAAGTATTGTATTTCTGAGTAAATATTTGATAGCAGTGTTTACGTACAGTCCTATACAGTTCTTTTCAGATTAACAATAAATATTAATCTTGATGCCATTTAAATGTGTTCAAATTTTATATTTTTTTGATTTTGATAATACAAATATGATGATTAATGCTGAGATAATTACACAGAAAAATATTTTCATATTATTATCAATGATGGAGTGAAACATTTGTATTAGGGTATGGAATATTATAATTTTTCTTCTTTTAATCTCATTTTAAGCTTTAAAGGGTTGTGCAGCTATTTTATATTTCTTTAACAGAATCAAAATTTATTGCTTAGTTTAGATTTTTTAATAATAAGAAGGAGAAGTATGTCGTATATTTTACTTTAGATGCATGGGAATTGCAAATGAATATCAAGCTGCTATGGCAACCATTTGAATCTGATAGTTACTGTGAGCAATATAGTATATTATTTTAAATCAAATTAACTGCGAAAAATGAATTTCAATAAACTGGTCACTTTGCTAAAATTTCAACAAACAACGTAAGTATATTACTAATTTAAGACTGGAAGGTTAAACTTTCAAATATCTTCAATAAGCATCTGCTATGCATTAAGTGTTTAAAAATATCAATTATAAAGTAAGTAAAACAAAATGTATTTTAAAATTTTAATTTACACAAAGCATAGAGAGTTTTTAACAAAAGCTCAAATAAATAATCGTATTGCAAATATTGAAAAGGCCTCTCCATTGGTAAATAAACGTCAAACAATATGTATAGAGAATGCAAGCAAATGTTAAGCAGTTATATTTATTATTGCTTAGTTTCTTTTTGTATATTTATAATATATACTATACCTGTAATCTTGAATATTCACATTTTTAGTACTAATTTGTATATTTATTTAGTTATGTTTTAGTTAACATAATGTATTTAACTTAATAATTTAACGTTAAACTAATGAACTTTAAAAAAAGATTATTTTGCAAACTAAAGTTTAACATTTTGTTGTTGAAAAACCTGTAATATCTAATTTTTATTTCCAGATTGTATTTTAAGCTAGTTTTTTTTTAGCCTAAATAACCATAGCTAATAAAGGCTAGCAAATGACTGACTGAAAAAAAGCTGAAAAATTTGTTTCAGCTTATTTTCTGACACAATTATGACTATTAATTGTTACTATTTAATAAAACTTTTCACTTTAGGGTTTTAATTATGATACAAACATTCAACTGTATGATTTTAATTATGACAATTATATACAAGCATTTAACTATATGAGATTAATGAGCTAGCAAGTAAAAAACTTACTTTGATCAAACATAGTTTGATGAGAGGATAAGAATATTAACTCTTCAAAGTTTAGGAAATATAAAAAATCAACGCTTTTAAAAAAGTTTTTTTCTATTTTTTTATTAATAAAATTTTAGGTTTTCTTCTTATTATTATTTTTCATTGTGTTCAGTTTTCATTATTAACTTTTTATTGTTAAAACTACTAAAATTTATGTTTATTTCAGAATGATAAAAATGATTAAACAAGAAAAAAATCAATACTTGAGGGAATGGTGCCAAAGTAATCAAGCCTTAAATAATATACTTGTAAATGAAGAAATTGACAACTCATTGGATGTCAAATCTAGTATTAATGAAGTCTAGATTTTTATTGATTTCAAAAACATTAAAATTGAGAACTATAGTGACTTATTTTGTGTCTGATCATAAAGATACTTCTGAAACTGAGAGTTCTGATCTAGACTCTTAGGTTCCTATGAGTGATAATAATGAAGATCTTAATGATGGAGTACTTGTTACAGAGATTGCCAAATGGACTTTAAAACACAGAATAACTATAAATGCAAGTGATGAACTGTTTTATTTAATTTTACACCAGTATGGTCATCATGTTGATTTACTCAAATGAACAAGTACAATTTAAAATACTTCTAGGAATGTTCCAAGTGAGTTAAAATGTGGAGGTGAGTATGTTTATTTTAGTATTTCAAACAGTATATCAAGAACTTTAGTAGTCAACTAGCATTATAGATTTGAGTCAAGTACAATTTTTCTAGTTGTCAATGTAGATAGCCTTCCCTTATTCGAGTCATCAAACACACAGGCCTATAATATGTATGTTTGACAAAGGGACACCATTTATTGTATTGCTATTTGTTAGTGATAACAAGCCAAATATTAGTGATGATTTTTTATATGATTTTTTGCATGAGTATGAGTTATTATTGGCAAATGGTTTTCAGTATAATTCATATAACTTCAATTACATCTTGAGAAAGATTTTTGCAAATGTGCGAATAAAAATGACAGGAAGTTAAAGCGTAACCGTTTTTAAAAGATTGAGTCCCTTAAAGAATTTTATTAATTTGAAACCAGATTAAAACATAACTGGGAGTACGATAAATTGGTAATTTATATTTTCTAATTTTAAAGTTTGTTTGATAAAATGCTATTTAATTTCATCATTTTCTTGATTAATCTATTTAAATTGCTCTCACATTTAACCAGAATATAGTGTAAAAGGTAAATTCATACATAAAATGTAAAAGGTAGATTCATACAATACATAAATTAAGATTTACTTTAGTGACATGATAGCCATTTGTATTTTGTAGAGTTTTTCACAGTCTTGTATTTTTTGTTAAATATTTTTGTCATTAAATTTGTTTGAGCAACTATTTTGTTGCTTTTATAGAACAACTGTGACAAATAACCAAATGAATCCTGTCTTATTCGAACATGAACTTTTCGCCAGACTTTCATTTATGTTTTAGCTTTGTAACCTCAAGAAAGCAGGTAGAAAAAAATGTTAAAGAAAATACAAAAAATGTTATGGTCGGGTATGTAATTTTTTTTAACTCTGGATAATCAAACCGTTTAAATTGTGAGCAAATTGAATAGAAAAATCTATATGGAAAGTAATTTAGAAAAACAAACAATTTTGATAATAATATTTGGGGAGAACCTTAATGAATGGAACGCTGATTGAATGGGACAAAATCAAATTTGCATACAAGCATCTATGGTTAATTGGTAAAAAAACTCCTGTGGTAAGAAATGTTAAACACAACAATCCGGCAGACCAAATTATTCCTATCATGGCCTAAACATGATGGGTAAAACATAACATTAAAACTGTTGCATTAATGGGAATTAATAGCACATTTCTCCTGGCGGAACAAACAATTTTCAATATATAAATTAGACAACTTTATTAACTTTTAAAAAGTCTTTTACGAAAACTGCTCTATTTATTTAGGTTCTCCCCAACAGGTTTAAGCTTTAATTCGATGTCGAAACTTTGAATATAAAACATTTACAAAAAAGTAAAGAACCTTACAAAATTATACTTTGTGAATTATTACTCTGTGTGTTAACAATTAAATAAGTTCGCTGGATCGATTGATATAGTATAACAAAGTAGTTATTTTTCATTTATTATTTTTTATTACGTTTTTATAGAATTATGGAGCATCATGTTAGCCCAAGTTGAATATGAAAAGCAAAATTCATGGTGATATAAAGAAGGAATTATTCGAAGATAAAAAGTTGTGTAAAGCAATAATTGGTACGTTAATAATAGTTCAATATTGTTCTATCTATCCCTTCTTCCTTACATATGCTTTTTATTCTTAGATTTATATTAGTCTTGAACCTTGAATGTTAACGTTGAAAATCAAACAAATAGTCAATTATAAATAAACTAAATTGTTAACTGTTATCCCGTTTACAGTATCCCATGTTGTATTTTAGAAATCATTCTGCTAATGCACTAGAGTTCGACGGAATCAAACAAAAGATCAAATAGGAAGCATTTTAAAGTTCTCTCCATTAAACAATTATTTATTTTTGAGTTTTTTTATAAATTTATAATAAAAAAAATATATACATCTTTAATAATAAATTTATAGTAAAAAGAATATATACATCATAAAATACATCTTTAAAAAAAATTGTTAAAAACATTTATTGTATTTTTAGTTTGAATATCCCCAAAACTATTTTTTTAACCCTTTGTAAGGGGTTAAAAACCCTTTTATTAACTTTGAATATTGATTGTAATTGTGTTTAACATTTAATGTTAAACACAATTACAACTTAAAACACAGTTAAATTTTTTATACGGTTATATTCATATAATTACTATGACACAAAGCCGCTTCGGCTCAGGATTATATGAATATAACTATAGCTATATTAACATTAAATATTACACAATTATAATCAATATTTTACGTTAATTTAAAACGCTAATGTTTTTTGAACTTACATTTACATAAGTATAACGTTAATCTAACTTTAGAATTTTACGTTAATACAAAGTTAATATCTATCGTAAATCTAACGTATGAATTTTACGTTACAAAACCTTTCCATTTTACCGAACCGGCAACGTTGTGCTAACATAAAATCTAACGTAAATACAACGTTGTGTTCTTGCTGGGTGTGTGCCTGCTGGGATCAATTAATACAGGTAGACTAAATGGAGCTATAATAATTATTATTAGAATTCTTAACAAGTGTTTGTTTTGGTTTATGTGTTGTCATCACATATATGAACTCCATATGACTTATGCAGTACAGGCTATCACAAAAGTTAAATCTAAGTGTCCAAGCAAATCTATGTACTTAGCTTTTCAAAGACACTGGGAAACTTCTCATGAATCTCTAAACTCAAGAACTTCAGAACTAAAAAAATTGAAACAAGCTGGAAATAGGTAACAGGCTTTACATCTTGGCGCTAGGAGCTAAAGATTATGCGAAGTATTCGTTGGAGAATAAAATTTTTCCAAGAAATGACTATAATCACCTTGTAAAATATTTGGCTTTTTATCTTGGCGTCGAATCTAATAAGCTCAATGAATTTAAAATTCATCAACAAGGAGCTTGTCACGAAACAAGATTCATGGCTGATGCTTTGTATATTCTTACACTAGAAATGACTTCCACTATTATAACCTTTTTGCCTGATGAAAATAAAAATGAAACTGAAACGTGTGTCTTTATTGTTGCTGTTTGTTATGCTCCATGGTACCTCAAGTCTAGAAGCGCTCAACATGCTTTACTTAATGATTTAATGCATTTAAAGCAGCATATGTTATCAAGGATGAATTTAATGCCGATGTTGGCTATGCTTTGATTAAAAGTTTTCATAAACATTCGTGGTATCTTTCTCCAGCAGTAGTTGTTTTTTCACTAATTGATTCTCACTTGGAAATGTTTGTCAAGTACACATTGATTCAACGTTGGGTTTAGATCGTAAAAAAAATCAAACATTTGCGAAATTTTTATATACATTGGATCAACGTTGATTTATATATATTGAATCAACATTGAGTTATATACATTGGATCAACGTTGCTAAACCCAACGTAAACAACCCCAACAATCGTAAAAACGATCAACTTTTTGTGATGTTTTTACATACAATAAACCAGCGTTGGTTTATACACGTTAAATCAACGTCGGGGTACAATTGTAAAAGCAATCATCTTTTTGCTATGTTTTTAAATACGTTGGACCAAAGTAAATGCGCCAACTGTTTTTAGTTCCGTCGGTATTTATTTCATTATTAAACAAATGACATTGGATCAAGGTTACTTTCGCATAGGAAAAAACAGCCGACGTTTTCAACGGTTTCACATACATACGTTGGCCCAACGTAAGTGTGCTAGCTGATATGGAATAATCGTGTATAATATATCTATAAAAAGAGAAAACTTTAAAATTTTATTTTAAACTTCAGAAATCTTTTTTTTCCATAATATTATTTCATATTTCTTTGCTAGAAAATATATAAGCAAGATTGAAAAAATTTTAAAATTTATTTCGCTGAGAGGGTTATTTTTTATGTTAAACAATACTTTAACATAGAAAATAACCCAATCCCCTCCTCCACCAAATAACGTGATTTTTAAGTTATAGTCGGTTTTTTCGGTATTTTGACGAATTTAGTCGGCTAGTCGGGTATTTGACACAATTCATATAAGTTTAAGTTCTCGTTTATATTTTACAATAAAGTAACTAGAAAGTTTTAAACAATACAAATCACTTGTAATTTGTTATTACATAAATGTATTCAATTGCTTTTTTTTTTTTGTAATATTTTATTATATTTGGGAATATTAGTTGTTGTTTTTCCACCATTTTCGTAAAGCATCTAAACATATGAAAACAAAAACTTTGACCAATAAGATGACAGAACTCCCCGTAAGCAAGGCAAGCAATCCACCACATTCACTCAAAAGTTGTTCAAACGCGTACAACTCCGATTCTTCGTACACGTGATAGTAAGGATTTAAAGGGTAATCAATGACTATGTTATAAGAATCAACTGTTTTGTTGCTTGATAATAAGAAGTTAAAGTTAGAGTTTGATACAGTGGAGATAAAAACTCTTTCATCACAAGGTATCATACATTTACTTTCATAATTTTGAACAAAACTTGAGTTTAAACAAGTAGTTACGTTATCACGGTTATTTTCAATTGTTTTAGCATGTGTTACTTTTGCCTTTTCAGGTAGGAATCCTAAACACTCGCTAAAACTTGCACCACAAGTTTTAAGTGCATTAAGACACCTTAATGATTCATGGCATTTCAGCTTCGAATACTCACCCGGGTAAATCAATGAATCAAAACTTTGAACACATTTTGACGGAAATGGATGTGGCAGTCGTTTATATTGTTTCATTTCAATACTTATTTCAGAGGTTCTGTTTTTTAAAACTGTAATTGGTTTTCTTTGAAAAAAAGGATAGAGTTCTTCAGCGTTGTGAACATAAACTTGAATGGCATCATTCGGATAAGATGTTTTAAAAGAAATAAAAGCTTTAGATGACGTATCTAAAAAACTTAAATCCATTCTCATGCAATTAAAGTATGAAGGTTTAATAAAATCGCCAACAAAGTATCCTTTTTTCATTAAATAATATACATATAAATACATATTTTCATTGCTCCACTCGCTGTTATTATCTGATACCTTTGGGATATTATTAATAAAACAGTTTGTGGCGGGATTTTGTGTTAAGTTACATTTCTTTTTCTTATCGGATGGACAAATTGTCAAAACGGGCATATCTGAAGCTAAATACTCTTTGGTATGAACTTTTGTATAAACATCTCTTTTGTTGTACTTAACGGACAAAGTCAAAACAATGTACACAACTGTGCATAAGCTAAACAAGGTTGTAAACCCCCAGAATAATTTTTCAAACAAAATACCATTAAAAACTTTTGTTAACCCGTGAACTGTAAACGAACTGCAGTATTCCTTACTTTTATAGCGTATAGTGTTGCTCCTTCTTTTTGTCGGAACGGCCCTATTTTTACCATCGTAAATATCAATAAAACAACTTTGTTTATTCTTCTTCTGTTTCATTCTTGAAAATAAAAAAATGAAAATAACTCTCTAAAATCAATATTTAATTTTTAAAAAGTTTAAAATTTAAATCGTATACAAGCTGAAAGTTAAAATTTCCAAGAAAAAAGTGTTTAAGTTATCTTTTTTTTTCAAAAAGTTTATAAACAACTGCTTTAGCGATTTCAACTCGAAAACAATCTAAAATTGGTAGCGAATTTGCTGTTTATTAAAAATAATGTGTTTGGTATTGCTTATTAATGAATTTACTGTTAGTCTTTATGAAACTAGTTTTTAATATTTATTTTTATCATTTTTATTGTTATGAATCATTAATTTTTTGTTATTGTATTTGTCATCAAAATACTTTAGGAAGGGATGGGTTGAGACATTTAATTTTATAGGCTGCATAGAAGTTAAATTAAAAAATCATTACATTTTTTTAACATAAAATTCAAAAACTAGCCATCAAATTTAAATTTTTAATATTTCATTTCATTAGATAAACTTGAATCAAATTAATTATTATTTAGTGCTTAACAATAAATTTTTTTGACGTTGTTACTGTCAATGTTGACTTATTCTTAATTTGGAACATAAAACAAAACACCGTAAAGTTTTTTTCGTAAAGTATATTTTTTTTTTTTTTTTTTTTTTTTTTTTGTTCTCTTCTTGAATATTCAATATAGTTATACAATAAGATAGTTGAGATAAAAATCGTTATACAATAAAAGAAAATGTATACAAAAAAGAAAGAACGCGGAGACTCGCAGAAGACCTTCAGGTCTTATCATCGAGAACCGCTCGTGAATATTAAGTACATTAAATTAACATGAAGTAAAAAATCTAAACAATGTCGTATTAAAAATTAGCGAAAACGTAAATTTCGTAATAATATATAAATAAAATTGGAATAAAGAAATTGTTGATACTCTTATATATAAATACAAAATATTTTAAAAAGTACTGTTTCCACAAACACATAAGTTATGGATCAGATATAATATTTATATATTACCTTATGTAATAAACTTTATATTCATTTTTAAAAGAATTTAAAAATATAAAAAAATGTCTTCAAAAGACAAAACAATTTCTTTTAGTTTTTTCTTGAATGAAAGATAATTCCATTCATGGGAAAAATCAAAATTTTTTAAAACTATTTTGTTCCATAGAAAAGCTCCTCGATATGAAATACACGACTTTCCAAAATTAGTTAAAGATAAAGGTTGCTGAATTTGATTATCATTTCTTAAGTTATATTTATTTTTATCTTTTAAGGTATATAGATTATGAAAAGAAACTGTAGATTCGTTGGTTTTACACATGAACATAAAACAAAGTATATTAAAAATATTTAGCTGATAAATATTAAGAATTTTCATTTGAAATAATAATGGTTTGGCATGAGCAAATCGATCTTTATAATTGATAAGCCGAGCAACATGCTTCTGCTGACGATAAAGAGGTAGCAGTTTAGATTTATTGGTATTGCCCCAAGCAATATTTGCATAATTTATATGGCAATGGATTAAAGAGAAATATAATTGTGTTAAACTGTGTTTATTTAAA